TTGTCAAGGGGTACCTCTGCGGATGTGTATACTTTAACTTAGCTATTTCAATGACCCATTTGAATGCTAAATTATATGCTAATTCCTTTGTCAAGGCGCGTGGTCTTTTTCTTCTCACACAGCTTAAAGGTCGTGATCTAAGCGTGGCTTCTTCCACTCCAGCGCTAATTCCTTTGTCAAGGGGTACCTCTGCGGATGTGTATACTTTAACTTAGCTATTTCAATGAGCCATTTCAATGCTAAATTATATGCTAATTCCTTTGTCAAGGCGCGTGGTCTTTTTCTTCTCACACAGCTTAAAGGTCGTGATCTAAGCGTGGCTTCTTCCACTCCAGCGCTGTCCTCCAGACAGTCTCGTCCCTTCACCTGATGAAGGCCGCTTGTGTTGTGGCCGAAACATCGTGATTTTTTGTTATTTTATTTTCACCTACGTGACTTTACCCAATAGAACCAAAGAGTATGGATCCTAGCAGTCACGAAAGTTTTAAATCTAGAATTGATAACCTCTATGGGGAGGGTTTTCACCTATCTGTTAGAGCTTTTAACAGACAACGGGACAAGAAGTCACAACTCATCGAGACGCTGACCTTCCTCAAAAGATGCCGCGATCACAAGGTAATACCCATCGCTTTCACACTCACTTCTGCTGCTGTATCTTCTCCGAATTCTAGACAGATTCTGCTTAAGGCCAGCCTATCTTTAATCTCAGAGAGGATAAGGCTACTCCGATTTGAACTCGATACTTTAGACAGGACTCTCCTACAAGCTCATTTAATGTTAACACAAAAAATGTCACCTTCTGATTGGAATCACGTAGACAACATGACTGCTTCTTCTGCTGAGTCACTGTCAGTCAAATGTAAAGCTAACCTGATTTATAAATTCAACCACCTATCAAAGAAGAACCCAGTGCCACATATAACAAAACTAGATATTAACAAAATCGTCATTAATCAGAGTAGCACCCTGATTTCGGACAATCTGAAAACAGTACTGGCTAGGGGACTAAATTTTGCTGTCACCCCAAAACACATACCAATAGATGATATCATCTCTCAGGTCGATGTAGCCCTCAAAGGCGTAGGACACATCCAAGCAGACGTTGCGAGAGCTGAAATAGCCACTATTCTTAAGAATGCTAAGAAACCCATTAGTAACATCAGCAAAAATGAACCCTCTGAACTCGCGAATTTTAAAAACAGAAGTGATATAGTCATCCTCTCAGCCGATAAAGGCAACGCTACTGTTATTATGGATAAAGATTCATACAACAACAAAATCCAGAATCTGCTCAACGATGGAAGTTACTCAAAAATAAAAAAATGACCCTACTAATAGCCTAGCGATAAAAACCAACAAGATCATCACAAGTTCGACCTCCCTAATCGACCCAACTAAACGTCCCTCCCTAAAACCTTCTGCTGCAAGACCCCCTAGATTCTATGGTCTTCCCAAGATTCATAAAGAAGGCACCCCACTTCGACCCATCGTATCTACGATCAACTCCCCTACCTATAGACTAGCCCGTTTTCTGTCAGATACCTTGCTGCCTTTCACTGGCAAGACCGCCTCAGCAGTACTCAACTCAGCCCAATTGGTCTCTATGGTCAAAGACGTTGTACTGTCCCCTGACGATATCCTTGTCAGCTTCAATGTGGTCTCTTTGTTCACCAAGGCCCCAGTACCTGATACCATTGAAATAATTGAAAATTTGGTCCAACATGGACTAGACCCCGACACACCTGCACTGGTTAGGCACTGCCTCAACAATACCTACTTTACTTGGAATGGCTCCTTCTACAAACAAAATGAGGGTACCCCCATGGGATCCCCCTTATCACCAGTGATAGCCAATATTTTCATGGAGAAATGTGAATCAGACGCCACCCAGACTTCCACCCTCAGACCTTCCCTGTGGAAGAGATATGTGGATGACACTTTCGTAATTTGGCCACATGGCCTCCCAGCTCTGAACCTTTTCCTACACCACATCAATTCCAGACATCCCGCCATCAAATTCACCATGGAAGTGGAGAAAGATGGCAAGCTACCATTCTTAGATGTTCTGTTTGAGAGGAGACCTGATGGCTCATTGGGGCATTGTCTACAGGAAACCCACCCACACAGATTCCTACTTGAAACCTGATTCCCACCACCACCCAGCCCAAAAGAATTCTCTCATCAAAACTTTATACCATAGGGCTCATTGCATTTCGGACCAACACCACCTGGCCAGTGAATTAATACATGTACACCTGGCCCTCAAAAGGAATGGTTACTCTGACCGTACCATCCACCAAGCTGTCTCTCCCTCCATACAGAAATAACCACTTGATACTCCGGTCAAAACCATCACACTTCCATATATAGCAGGCGTTACTAAAAAGATTTCCAAAATTCTAAACAAACACGATCCAGGTCCGGTTCAATACAGTACATAAAATTCGTGATCTGATCCCATCCATGAAGGATGTCATTCCTGATTTACAGTACCCCGGGGTTTACAAATTGAGTTGTACCTGCGGTGATTGCTACATCGGTGAGACAAACCGACATGTCTCTGACCGAATTCGCGAGCACAAATCAGATTTGAAACACGGCAAAACGAATTCTTCTGCCGTGGCTGATCACTGTTACAACGCTGTGGGGGATCACGATATAATTTTCTCCGATACAAAGGTTCTTTGCAAACCCACGGGCTTTTATCAGAGATTTGTTCATGAAGCAATTCAGATCTACAAACACAGACACAATTTCAACCGAGAGGATGGTTTCAAATTAAGCAACCATTGGAAAGATGTTCTAAATCGAACTAAACATAATATTTTTCAAGTAGTGGTACCCCAAACTTTCGCAGCTCTTATAAATTCCCCCTTTTCACACCATCAATAGGTAAACTCCCCCCTCCCCCTTTCCCACCCCCCCACGCCAAACTGCGAGTCCACCAGCACGTACACCATCTCTTTCCTAAAATCCGCCAATCAAATGCTAATTTTTATGCTAATTTCTTTGTCAGAACACCTTGTTTGATCGCACACAGGTCCGATGTCTGAGCGTGGTTGTGTTTCGCTAAATTCTCCTTTTTGATGAGTACTAGGTGCCTCGGTGAATGTATATGCTCTAACTTTAACATAGCTATTTCTGTGACCAGTTACAAGCTAATCACTCAGCTATTTCAATGCTAAATTCGATGCTAATTCCTTTGTCAAGGGGTACCTCTGCGGATGTGTATACTTTAACTTAGCTATTTCAATGAGCCATTTCAATGCTAAATTATATGCTAATTCCTTTGTCAAGGCACTTGGCCTTTTTCCTCTCACACAGCTTAAAGGTCGTGATCTAAGCGTGGCTTCTTCCACTCCAGCGCTGTCCTCCAGACAGTCTCGTCCCTTCACCTGATGAAGGCCGCTTGTGTTGTGGCCGAAACATCGTGATTTTTTGTTATTTTATTTTCACCTACGTGACTTTACCCAATAGAACCAAAGAGTACAGACATGATTCCTTGTAAAAGGTTTCAGTTTGGTGTTTTAACATCTGAACACCTGTTTTGTTGCCAGAAAAAAAGGGGAAAACCTATTCTCGTAAACCAAATAGCTTGTCAGTTAAAAAGGAAGGCGCAGACGCAGAGACAGCCAAAAAATAACGTTTATAGGTAAGATTTACTTCATGGTATTTGTTACAGTCCAGTATTACATGCAAATGCACGACGTTTCCTCTTAATTTATGAGGTGTTAACGGTGCATTACCCTTTTTGTTGCGTTGGACCGTAACACGTTTCACAACACCGACCGTGCGGGCATTGAAATATGGCGCCGTACACGACTTATGAGCCGTGCAATGTTACAAATGGGGGGGGGGGGGGGGAGGGGGGTCAGATGGAGCTCGTGAAGGGGGTGGCCAGAGGGGTGACTCGGTGGAACCCGACGTGTCACGGACGTTCGTGCAAGCGCCTCTTCCCCCTGTTGCGAGAAACCGGAAGGGAGCTCAGGCTGCAAGCTGTGGCCGGGCGTGAAGGTGGAACCCTGCGATGAAGATCCTGGCCTCTCACCCGGTCGCTCGCGAAGCAGCAAACCGAGGAAGGTGCCGGCTGTGAGACCCGCACGGGCATGAAAAACAAAACGCGGAGGTCGACATTTGTCCATCTCCCCGTTGAGTGTGAAGTGAGGGGGGATGGGCGTCTTGCGTGGAGTAGGACATTCTATCGATGGTCGAGCACGGCCAAACGTGGCCACAATGCATTCCTCCCGCCCGCGAGACCGCGCCGTTCGTGAATTACCAATGGAGTCGACCGAGAAAAATAAAGTGGCAGCAAATCTGCTTCGCTGGACAAGCTGCAATCTCAACCGGCTCCGCCGCGAGCATCTGAGAACTTATTTAGTGTTTGTTGTTGTTTCCCTTCCCCCGAAGTGCGTGATGTCAAGCCCCCCCAAAGTGCACCACCGGTTACTCGTCGAATACACATACACTACCGTGACTGACTCAATTAATTGGTGTAAGTTCTAATAACATTCTAGACCAGTGGTTCTTCTTCTTAACCTGGGGTGCGCATCACCCCCTGGGGGTGCGAGATGTCCTTTTCTGGGGGTAGCGAGACATGGCGGAATTTTTTTAGAAAGGTAAATCATCGAAACACATTCAACACTACCCATAGACTCAACACTGCCGCACAGACTCAAGACTACGCCATAGACTCAACACTGCCTATAGACTTAACACTCATCCACCCACTCACCTATACCCCTGTCCAATCGCAGTAGAGCAGTGACTCTTAACCTGGGGTGCACGCACCCCCTGGTATACAGGAGGTCGTGGGTTCAATCCCAGCTCTGACACGGCCTGCTGTATATTTGGACTTTGCACGTGTCTCTCTCCCCGTGGTTCGCGTGGATTTTTCTCCGGGTCCTCCAGTTTCCCCCCCCCCACTCCCCTCCGACATTTAGAATCAACATCACCAGGCGTTTAGAGAGCATGTGGCTGCTGCTATAAGTGTCCACGTGATGATAGGCCGCTTCGTTGAGGTATCATTTGTGATGGCCAGGTCGCTTCTAAAAAAGAGATGTGGCTCAGTTGTGGGCCTTACCTGGTAAAATAAAACAAAGAGTCTACTACGTAGTTTTCACTTCAGGTGTATCTGTTCTCAGAGCAAAAAATATTGCCTCCACGTTGTGTACCTTCACAGTCGTGCAGATGCGCTCGTGCTCTCGCACGGCCGTTGTATCGCGTGGGATTTTCTCTCTCTCGGTCAGCTTCTCAAGCGTTTAATCTCCGTTCCACGGGACCTGCCCCCTCTGTGTAGTACACATCCTCCACCCGTGCCACCAACTTAGCAAAGGTCCCAGTCGAGGACGCACGCTCACTCGACATGCTTGCTTGGAACCTCCTCCTTCACTCTTCCCACGTAGACCTCAACATCTGTTCCCAAAGCTGAGATTGGGCCTACCGTGTGCCACCTTCACCCCAGCTGCGTCTCATAGCCGGGAGTTTCTTCCCGTTCCTGCTTCACGATCGAGAGGGGAACTGAAGAATCCTCCCCCCCACCATGTTCCACCTTCACCCCTGGCCACGTCTCAGAGCTGGCGATCCCTCCGCGCTCCCGCTTCATGATCGGTAGGGAGGCGGAAGGATCTTCACCGTCGCATTCCACCTTCACCCCCGGCCACGTCTCGAAGCTGAGGGTCTCTCCGCGTTCTGATGTTAGCGATGCCGTGGGGGTCGCCGAGGGGGTTGCCGCAGGACCCTCGCCCCCGAGGCTCACCACGACCTCCCCAGCGGCAGTCACGCCCTCGTGACGCCCGGCCCTCCCGCGGGTGCGGCGGCAAAGGAGGGGGGGACGAGCCGGCGGCGTCGACGCGTTCGAGCCCGCGCGGGCTCGCCGGCGTGCCCGGAGGCTTCCCGCCCCGGAGGAGGCCTTCCCGCGCGTGGGGCACGCGAAAGGCCTCCCGCCCGCGTGCGTCCTCTTGTGCGCGCGGAGGGTGCCCGAGTGCGTGAACGAGCTGCCGCACACGTCGCACGCGTACGGCCTCTCGCCCGTGTGGGTGCGCTTGTGGATGCCCAGGGTGCCCGACTCGGAGAACGCCTTGCCGCACGTGGGGCACGCGTAGGGCCTCTCGCCCGTGTGGGTCCTCCTGTGTACGGACAGGGCTCCCGACTGGGCGAAGGACTTGCCGCACATGGTGCACCTGTAGGGCCTCTCGCCCGTGTGGGTCCTCGAGTGTATGACGAGGCCCCTCGACTGGGCGAATCGCTTCCCGCACGCCGCGCACCCGTAGGGCTTCTCGCCCGTGTGGGTCCTCTCGTGGTTGAGGAGCGCCCCCGACTGCTTGAATGCCTTTCCGCAAGTGGCGCACTTGTACGGCTTCTTGCCAGTGTGGACCCGCTTGTGGGTGACGAGGGTGCCCGAACGCGCGAACGCCTTGCCGCACACGGCGCACGCGTACGGCTTCTCGCCCGTGTGGATCCTCTGGTGGTTGAGGAGGTGGTGCGACTGAGTGAAGTCCATTCCGCAGACGTTGCAGTGGTAGGGCCTCACACCCGCGTGGATCCTCTCGTCCGGTGAGACGTCTCCTAGCAGTGGGGCGAACGCCTTCCCACGTCGCGCCCGCTTCATGTGCACGCTCTGATGGGAGCAGAAGTCTCCCGAATTCGCGAAAACTTCATCGCACACCCTGCACTTGTAGGGCTTCTCGTCGGCGTGGCTCCTCTGGTGGCCGATCAGAGTGGCCGCTTTGTCCGTGCTGTACGGGCAGTGGGGGCACCGGTACAGCACGGGCTCGGTCAGGCCCCTGTGCCGCTTCATGTGGTCCTCCAGGGCGGGCAGGCTGATCACCACCCAGTTGCAGATCGGGCAGTAGATCTTTATCTCTCCTCCCTCATTCATCGTTCCCGTCCTGGCACTGGGGCAAAGAGTGAGGCACACAAAGGAAAATTAATCTCCCTTGCCCTGCCCCTGTGAAGTATCGCGAACAAGGCGTGAAGCTAGAAACCACAGACACCGGTTGCTAACCGTCGAACAAAGACGGTGGTCGCCGCTGCATCACGCGGCACTTTCAGATGCTGCTGCTGCCGCTTGTGGCAGCTGTCTGGAATGCTCTACCCTACGGATATGCGGAAGCCACTGGGAGCTACGATGCAATTTTAAGTCATCATCTAGATTGACAAACTTGTTTCCTTAAAACTGCTGCTTGTTGTTGTGTTTAGATTATTGTCCTTCCCCTGCACCTCCGATTAGCGCGGTTGGCTACTGTTGTGTTGTGTTTTTGCTGCCTTGCCCATTCTTGATAAATCGGACAAAGAATTATGAATTTCCATTTCGTGACTTGCTTACCTTTTGTTAAATTGTTGCACTCCTGTCGTGTGTTCATGTGTATCGTGTGTTTGTGTGTGTCGTGTGTTTGCCGCTGTAACTCGCCAATTCCCCATGCCCATACTGGAGATCTGTGGAAAAGAGCTTTGCAGCTCATTGGAATCCTCCTCCTGCAGTCTAAATGCAAATTCTCATTTCGACTGAGATGACTCGCAGATGCACTGCCTGTGACCCCTACTGTCAGCTGTGCCAACTTGCTGCATTTTAGTCACACTCCCGACTGCCTTAGTCGCGTCCCCGACTGCTTGAACACCTTGCCGTGTGTGGCGCACCCATAGGGCTTCTTGCCCATGTGGACCCGCTTGTGGGCGACAAGGGTGCCCGCGCGCGCGAACGCCTTGCCGCAGACGGCGCACGCGTACGGCTTCTCGCCCGTGTGGATCCTCTCGTGGTTGAGGAGGTGGTGCGACTGAGTGAAGTCCACTCCGCAGACGTTGCAGTGGTAGGGCCTCTCCCCCGCACGGATCCTCCCGTCCGGCGAGACGTCTCCTGGCGGTGGGCGGAACGCCTTCCCGCGTCGCGCCCGCTTGATGTGCACGCTCTGATGGGAGCAGAAGTCTCCCGAATTCGCGAAAACTTCCTCGCACACCCTGCACTTGTAGGGCTTCTCGTCGGCGTGGCTCCTCTGGTGGCCGATCAGAGTGGCCGCTTTGTCCGTGCTGTACGGGCAGTGGGGGCACCGGTACAGCACGGGCTCGGTCAGGCCCCTGTGCCGCTTCATGTGGTCCTCCAGGGCGGGCAGGCTGATCACCACCCATTTGCAGATCGGGCAGTAGATCTTTATCTCTCCTCCCTCATTCATCGTTCCCGTCCTGGCACTGGGGCAAAGAGTGAGGCACACAAAGGAAAATGAATCTCCCCCGCCCTGCCCCTGTGAAGTATCGCGAACAAGGCGTGAAGCTAGAAACCACGAACACCAGTTGCTAACTGTAGAACAAAGGCGGTGGTCGCCGCTGCGTCCCGTGGCGCTTTCAGATGCTGCTGCTGCTTGTGGCGGACGTCTGGAACGCTCTTCCTCTCCGGTATGAGGAAGCCACTGGGAGCTACGATGCAATTTTAAATCATCACCAAGATTGACAAATTTGTTTCTTTAGAACTGCTGCTTGTTGTTGTGTTGTCCTTCTTCCGATTAGCGCAGTTGGCTACTGATCCGTTGTTACGTTTTTGCTGCCTTGCCCAATCTTAATAAATCGGACTTAAACAATAAATTTCCATTTTGCGACTTGCTTACCTATAGTTCTATTTTGCACTCCGATCGTGTGTGTGTGTATCGTGTGTTTGTGTGTATCGTGTGTTTGTGTGTATCGTGTGTTTGTGTGTATCGTGTGTGTGTGTATCGTGTGTTTGTGTGTGTCGTATTTGTGTGTCTATCGTGTGTTTGTGAGTATCGTGTTTGTGTGTTGTGTTTGTGTGTGTATCGTGTGTGTGTATCGTGTGTGTGTATCGTGTGTGTGTGTATCGTGTGTTTTTGTGTATCGTGTGTTTGTGTGTATCGTGTGTTTGTGTGTATCGTGTTTGTGTGTATCGTGTTTGTGTGTATCGTGTGTTTGTGTGTATCGTGTGTTTGTGTGTATCGTGTGTTTGTGTGTTTGTGTGTATCATGTGTTTGTGTGTATCATGTGTTTGTGTGTATCGTGTGTTTGTGTGTATCGTGTGTTTGTGTGTATCGTGTTTGTGTGTATCGTGTTTGTGTGTATCGTGTGTATCGTGTGTTTGTGTGTATCGTGTGTTTGTGTGTCGTGTGTTTGTGTGTATCGTGTGTTTAGTGTGTATCGTGTGTTTAGTGTGTATCGTGTGTTTGTGTGTATCGTGTGTTTGCCGTTGTATATCGCGGACTCCCCGTGCCCATACTGGATATCCGTGGAAAAGAGCTTCATAGCTCATCGGATTCCTCCTCCTGCAGTCTGAATAAACATTCTGATTCTGACTGAGATGACGGGCAGATGCACCACCTGTGCCCCCTACTGTGCAAACTTGCTGCGTTTTAGTCGCACGGCGCTCCGCTCGTTGTTGTGAGCGTCGCTCCTCCGCCCTCCGTTGTTGCTGGAGGGCGACTGCCTCCAACTGCCCAGTAGCAGCGTCCTTCACGAGCCTCCTCCTCCACAGAGGCCGATCTTGACACCGCTGGTGCCGGTCATCGGCAAGTCCACTCAGCTCCACATCCTCCTGTACCGCCACAGCGCCATCTCATCTCCAGCCCCGTGCCGCGCCCGTTTAGCCCCCCTCTATCCATGCGGTGGCTGGGCATGCGGGCTACATGACCCAGCCAACGGAGCCTTGGAGGAGCTCGCCGATGATAGGGGACCCTGTCCAGATCCTTCAAGGATTTGTGAGCTCCTCACACTGCGATTCAGCCTGCAGGTCAACACCCACGATTGATCGTGGGCAGGGCCGGCCTGCAAGTTACAAACCGGCGCAGACACAACAACAACAGCCGCCAATTCGCCACAAAGTGTCGGTGACGTCACCACGGCGCCTGTGCCAGGCTAGGTGCACTTTGAGGCCGTCACGTGGAGTGTCGACAATTAAAAAGATCCCCCGTGTAGCCTCACCAGACTGTTGGGGCAAGTGCTGTTAGCGAGCACCTACGAAGGCCGGCACGGTACACGGGGGGGTGGGTGGCCATCACCACGCCCGGCTGCCTTTGTCTCTCCCCCAGTGGCGATATTTACCACACACAGCACCAGGTACACATTTGAGGCTGAGCCGACCTAGGGGAGGCCCAGGACCGGTTCAGGTAATCGTCACCGGCGGTGTTGGCCGTGAGCGGGTCGCCGGGTTCGTAGCGCTAACCGCTGCACCACCGCTCCCCACAGGGGCAGGCACACACACAAAGATAAAGATCCCCCAGGTAGCCTCACAGAGGCTCTGCAGTCGCAAGTGCTGCTGTTAGTGGCGAGTAGCAGTACCTATGGAGGCCGGCACGGCACGCGAGGGGGTCGGTATCCAGCACCACGCCCGGCCGCCTTTGTCTCTCCCGCAGTGGCGATGTTGAACTTCACAACCACGCAGAGACACGGAGATCTCGACTCTCTGTCTCTGTGCGTGACGTCACCCAACCTTGTCCGTGCGTGTTGTCACTCACGCTCCCCCCTGGGCAGTGGTGACGTGACGTCACGCTCGCGGCGCGACTGACGACACGACATCAAACGGGCGCGCGTATGCCGGGGGGGGTATGGTCAATAGTGTAGGGTGACGTCACGAAGGGGCTGTATGCGAGTGACGTCACCGCTACAAAGACAAATATCCCCCCCCCACCCGTGTAGCCTGCGACAGACTCTAGGGGCAAGTGCTGTTAGCGAGTCGCAGCCACCGATGAAGGCCGCCACGAGGGGGGTGGGTGGCCAGCAACCACCCCCGGCCGCCTTTGTCTCCCCCACTCACCCATTCACTCACCCGTACTCACACACACCATAGTTCCATTTATTTGGTATAGCACCGTGAGCCATTCGGCTCTTGAATCGGGTGCAACCGCAACAAACAAAAAACAAAAACACGAACAAGAAAAACATCTTAAAGTGACTGTGTGTGACTTTGTGCAAAGAGAAAATCCAGGAGAAAAAAAAACATCAAAATATTCCTGAAATAGCACCGTACACCAACGCTGTGTGCAAAAATCCCAGTGGGATGCAAGTCAAACAACAACAACAACCACAAGACAACTAAGATTAAGGCCATCAGTCTCACTCCGTACTGCAATAAACAAAAACATGGCCAAACCAAAAAAAAACGTTTTCGAAATCACCAACATAAAAGCCATAAATGCAATGTAACAGTGATCATAGGGACTGTGACCAATTTTTTAACAAAAAACTACATAAATTATAACACCAAAATCTAGAGCCATATTTTAGGCCACTGAATTGCAGTGGCAGCTAGGGGGGTACAACTCCTCTAGAGCAGTTTTGAGTGAAGATCTCATAGGTAGTGATTCAAGTTGCAGTTTATTGGCAATAGCATTCCAGACCCTGGAGGCATCAATAGCAAAGGCCCTTCCTCCGGTTTTTGTACGGCAATATGGAATGTGAAGCTGGTAAATGAGCGAAGTCCTGAGGTCAAAATTGTTCTTTGAAACAGAGAGGAGATCCAGTAGGTAGTCTGCGGATTTTTTTGTAAGTACATCTTGAATAAATAAGATCTGGTGCACAAGCCGTCGAATATTTAGAGATGTTAAGTTTGACCCAATGTAGAGATCACAGTGGTGCGTCCTATATGGGCAGTTCAATGCAAATCTTAAGGCCGAGTGATAGATGGAATCAAGCTTCTTCAGTACAATACTTGGGGCTGATTTATACACGCTGTCACAGTAGTCAAGTAGAGGCAGTATGGTAGCTTTTATCAATTCCAAACGGAACATTGGGGGGAAGCAGTGCTTGTGTCGATACAGAAAACCAATTTTTATTTTTGTCTTTTTACCAATATAATCAATGTGATCTTCAAAATTCAATTTTGAATCCAGGATGACCCCAAGATACTTATGTATCTTGACTTGCTCTATTTGATAATTATTTAAGGAATGTAATTGGGGAAAAATAACTTCCTGCTTTAGTCCTGATGAGAAGCATAGCACCTTGGTTTTAGAGGTATTCAGGACAAGTTTAAGAGCAACTAGCTGATGTTGTAGTTTGTTGAAATCACCTTGGAGCTTAGCAATCACGTCATCCGGAGAGCGGCCAGCAGTAATCAGTATCGTGTCATCTGCAAAAATATTTACCCTAGAATGATCCAATCACAAAGACCCCCCGTGTAGCCTGTGACAACTGTAGGGGCAAGTGCTGTTAGCGAGTGGCAGCAGCGCCTATGAACTCCGCCACTGTGGTACACGAGGAGTGAGGATGGCCGCCACGCACGGCCGCCTTTGTCTCCACCATTCACTCACTCGTGCTGCTGCTGTGTATTTGGAGTCTGCGTCTCTCTCATCATCATCATCACGGTGGCTAGGAGATGTTGACTACCTCGCCTGGTATACAGGAGGTCGTGGGTTCTATCCCGACCCAGACGCCTGCTGCTGCTGTATATTTGGAGTTTGCGTTTCTCTCTCCCCGTGGTTGCCATTCCTTCGTCCGTGAGCTGGACCAGTGACGCCTGCAGCGATGTATAATGCAGGAGGTCCAGTGGGCTGGTTTTGCCTCCAAGCACTTGAGGGGGTGGACAGTCCTCCACTCGGGGCATGAAATAAGAGAGTGGCTCTCAGAATGATGGAGGCATGGGGGCATTGGGGCATGGCGGTGAGGTGTGGGAAGCTGTGAACCAAGGCCGTAGCCATGGAGTCAACATTGGGGGGGGGACCAAATCTTCCAGGGGATCTGGGGGTCCCCCCCCCCAGAAAAAAAATCTAAATTTGAAAACTAATTTCCTGCCATTTCCTGAGATGGACTTTTTTACAATAATGTCTAATAGTGTATTGTATTACATTGATGTTTTTTTCTTTTTTGCCTTTTCTTGTTTCATTGTATAATGGCAGAGGTTAGGGATTAATAAAGTACAACCATAACCACAATCAAATAAACAAATCTATGCATTGTTATAAAATATTTTTTAGAGAAATATATTGTGGGGGGGCATTTTGAGCATATTTGAATATTGGGGGGGATGTGCCCCCCCAATATTCAAATATGCTCAAAATGTGTGTCCCCCCCAATATATATTATAATTACGGCCTTGCTGTGAACCCCAGGCCACTGTGGGCTTTGCTTCTTCATCAATGGGAGGCAAGGTTGGTGGTGGTGACATGCCCACACCGAAGATGAACATCAGGCAACGCTGATGAGTTTACATGACCTTTATGACCTCCTGTGCTAGCTAGATATATGAATATATAAATGGTTCTGTCCTCGTGGTAGAGTCAACTTGTTGGTTGACTTTAATAAGCCGACACAGGCACCTGGGCTGGAGTAATTGGATGGCATGGGCCAGATCGGCTCAATAACAGCAGCAGGGGGCTGCTTGACTCCTGTTTTCCGGTGTCAGCGCATCATCCACACAGCAACTTGGGTGCATGCTGGGTCCAAGCAAGAACATCTGCTGGACCACATAGCGATGGAACAGTGAATGCGGGCCCATGTCCTTGACAACAGAACCTACCGTGGAGCTGATCTGCCCACTGATCATCGACTTGTCATCTGTAAGATGAGCCTGCCATTCTTCCACTCAGGTGGTGGGTGTACACCCAGCATCCCATTCAAACCCATAGTGGCATGGTCTTATTTGTACCGATATGCACGTTGTGTGTATGTGTTGCAGCGCAGTCACCACGAGGTCCAATAATTATAGCGGGTAGTATGGTTTGAGTTTGTCAACGTACGATCTCTGCTATTGGTGGTTCTCGGGTCCAGAGGCGGTGATCGGCTTGATAGCGGTGTGTCCTTGTACCGAAAATACCACAGGTCCCCAGCAGGGGGCATTGGGTCGGCGGGTGTATGTCGGCACACGGCGTGTGATATTACCCGACCCTTACTATCCTTTGCCTGTGGTTTGGCGAATTACTGGGCACACTCAAGAGTAGCGGTGGCCTCAGGTCTTCCAACGGAGATGTTGACTTTGATCGGAGCACGATAGGAATGATCCTCACACTATGGTCATGTGTGTAGGCTTTCATCCGCCCATATTGGCGCTTTCCGCCTCACTGTTTTATTATTACTAAATAATAGAATAGTATTCTTTTATTTATATTTTCTTTCTACGCAGCTTTACCGAAAGAACCAAAGAGTAATTCCTGCAATCACGAAAAGCTTCAAATCAAGTTTGTTTTATTATAATTTCCATGACGTGGTGGTCAATACAGTTATACAACTTTCCCAAGATAACCTTGTGAATAAATTACCTCCCAGATGTCTTTTGTTTCGCGAGGCAGGGGAGGTGGTGCTCCTTTGGCCTTTGTTGTCTCGAGGGAGGAGACAATATATACATTTTTTTTTACTATTGAGAACCAACGGGGTGCAAGGCTGCAGTGAAAGTTAACCACCGCTCAAGAGTGGTTACCAAAGTTTAAAGTCCGTTGCACGTTATCCATCCTTGCCTGTTGCATCGCCCACACGTCCAGATCGGCAAAGGTCGGGAAACGGTGTTCCTTTCAAATCTGGTTTGGCGTCTCCTCCACCGTTGGGTGACATGGTGTCTAGATGTTAACTACCTCGCTTGGTATACAGGAGGTCGAGGGTTCAATCCCAGCTCTGACATGGCCTGCTGTATATTTGGACTTTGCACGTGTCTCTCTCCCCGTGGTTCACGTGGATTTTTCTCCGGGTCCTCTGGTTTCCCTCTGTCTCCCCACCCCGACATTTATAATCAACATCACCAGGTGTTTAGAGAGCATGTGGCTGCTGCTATAAGTGTCCACGTGATGATAGGCCACTTCGTTGAGGTATCATTTGTGATGGCCAGGCCGCTTCTGAAAAAGAGATACGTGGCTGTGGTGGGCCGTACCTGATAAAATAAAACCAAGAGTCTACGAAGTTTTCACTTCACGTGTATCTGTTCTCAGAAAAAAAAATATTGCCTCCACGTTGTGTACCTTCACAGTCGTGCAGACACGCTCGTGCTTTCGAACGGCCGATGTATCGCGCGACATTTTCTCAACATTTCTCTCTCTCGGTCAGCTTCTCGAGTGTTTAATCTCCATTCCACTAGACCTGCCCCCTCTGTGTAGTACACATCCCCCACCCACGCTAGCAAATTAACAAAGGTCCCAGTCGAGGACTCGCTCTCACTCGACATGCTTGCTTGGAGCCTCCTCCTTCACACGTCCCACGTAGACCTCAACATCCGTTCCCAAAGCAGAGACTCAGCCTCCAGTGTGCCACCTTCACCCCAGCCGCGTCTCACAGCCGGGGCTTTCTTCCCGTTCCTGCTTCACGATCGAGAGGGGAACTGAAGAATCCTCCCCCCCACCATGTTCCACCTTCACCCCTGGCCACGTCTCGACGCTGGCGATCCCTCCGCGCTCCCGCTTCATGATCGGTAGGGAGGCGGAAGGATCTTCACCGTCGCATTCCACCTTCACCCCCGGCCACGTCTCGAAGCTGGCGATCCCTCCGCGCTCCCGTTTCACGATCGGTAGGGAGGCGGAAGGATCTTCACCGTCGCATTCTACCTTCACCCCTGGCAACGTCTCGAAGCTGCGGGTCTCTCCGTGTTCTGATGATAGCGATGCCGAGGGGGTCACCGAAGGGGTCACCGAGGGGGTTGCCGAGGGGGTTGCCATGAGACCCTCGCCCCCGAGGCTCGCCACGACCTCCCCGGCAGCAGTCACGCCCTCGAGGAGCCCGGCCCTCCCACGGGCGCAGCGGCGGAGGGGACGGGCCGGTGGCGTCGACGCGCTGGAGCCCGCGCGGGCCTGCCGGCACGCCCGGAGGCCCCCTGCCTCGGAGGAAGCCTTCCCCCGTGTGAAGGGCCTCCCGCCCGCGTGCGTCCTCTTGTGTACATGGAGGGTGCCCAAGTGCGTGAACGACCTGCCGCACACGTCGCACGCGTACGGCCTCTCGCCCGTGTGGGTGCGCTTGTGGATGCCCAGTGTGCCCGACTGGGTGAAGGACTTGCCGCACGTGGTGCACCTGTAGGGCCTCTCGCCTGTGTGGGTCCTCTCATGTGGGACGAGAACCTTCAACAGGGTAAATCGCTTCCCGCACACGGTGCACCCGTAGGGCTTCTCGCCCGTGTGGGTCCTCTTGTGGTTGATGAGAGCCGTCGACTGGCTGTATGCCTTGCCGCACGTGGTGCACTTGTACGGCTTCTCGCCCGTGTGGACCCGAGTGTGGGTGACGAGGTTGGCCGAGCGCACGAACGCCTTGCCGCACACGGCGCACGCGTACGGCTTCTCGTTCGTGTGGATCCTCTGGTGTTTGAGAAGGTGTTGCGACTGAGTGAAGTCCACCCCGCAGACGTTGCAGTGGTAGGGCCTCTCGCCCGCGTGGATTCTCTTGTCCGGTGAGACGTCTCCTGGCGGTTGGCCGATCGACTTCCTGCGTCGCGCTCGATTGATGTGCGTGGTCTGATGGGAGCAGTAGTCTTCCGAATTTGCAAAAACTTCATCGCACACCCAGCACTTGTGGAGCATCTCGTCGGCGTGGCTCCTCTGGTGGCCGATCAGAGTGGCCGCTTTGTCCGTGCTGTACGGGCAGTGGGGGCACTGGTACAGCACGGACTCGGTCCGGCCCCTGTGCTGCTTCATGTGGTCCTCCAGGGCGGGCAGGCTGACCACCACCCAGTTGCAAACCGGGCAGTAGATCTTCATCTCTCCTCCCTCGTTCATCGTTCCCGTCCTGGCACTGGGGCAGAGAGTGAGGCACACGAAGGAAAATGAATCTCCCCCGCCCCACTCCGTCCCTGTGAAGTATCGCAAACAAGGCGTGAAGCTAGAAACCACGGACACCAGTTGCTAACTGTAGAACAAAGGCAGTGGTCGCCGCTGCATCCCGTGGCACTTTCAGATGCTGCGGCTTGTGGTGGAAGTCTGGAACGCTCTTCCTCTCCGGTATGAGGAAGCCACTGGGAGCTGCGATGCACTTTTAAATCATCATCTAGATCAGGGGTGGGGAACCTTTTTTCTGCCAAGGGCCATTTGGATATTTTTAACATCATTCGCGGGCCATACAAACTCATCAACTTAAAAATTTGCTTGTTATATTTGGTCAAACATTTAATTAACTCACCGCTAATGTGATGGCTGGAACTGCTTCTCTTTGGCGAGGCATGTGATGTTAGCTGGTATTGACAATGTTGCTACTCGCAACTGCTTATCCAGGTTTGCTCCTAGATTTATTGAATTTCGAGTCCTGCCTGCGGTTGCCTTGGCAGGGCCACACCAAATGATTTCACGGGCCGGACGTTCCCCACCCCTGATCTAGATTGACAAACTCAATTCTTTAGAACTGCTGCTTGCTGTTGTTGTGTTCAGTTTGTTGTCTTTCCCCCCGCACCTCCGATTAGCACAGTTGGCTACTGCTCTGTTGCTATTTTTGCTGCCTTGCCCAATCTTGATAAATCGAAATTAAACAATAATTTCCATTTACCTTTTGTTCTATTTTGCACTCCTATCGTGTGTGTGTATCGTGTGTTTGTGTGTATCGTGTGATTGTGTGTATCGTGTGTTTGTGTGTATCGTGTGTTTGTGTGTATCGTGTGTGTATCGTGTGTATCGTGTGTTTGTGTGTATTGTGTGTGTGTATCGTGTGTTTGTGTGTATCGTGTGTTTGTGTGTATCGTGTGTATCGTGTGTTTGTGTGTATCGTGTGTTTGTGTGTATCGTGTGTTTGTGTGTATCGTGTTTGTGTGTATCGTGTGTTTGTGTGTATCGTGTGTTTGTGTGTGTATCGTGTTTGTGTGTATCGTGTGTTTGCCGTTGTAAATCGCTGACTCCCTATACCCATACTGGACAATTGTGGAAAAGAGCTTTATAGCTCATCGGATTCCTCCTCCTGCAGTCTAAATAAACATTCTGATTCTGACTGAGATGACGAGCAGATGCACCACCTGTGCCCCCTACTGTGCAAAACTTGGTACTTTTAGTAGCCCGGCACTCTGCTCGTTGTTGTGAGCGTCGCTCCTCTGCCCTCCATTGTTGCTGGAGGGGGACTGCCACCAACTGCCCAGCAGCAGCATCCTTCACGAGCCTCCTACACAGAGGCCGATCTTGACACCGCTGGTGCCAGTCGTCGGCAAGTCCACTCAGCTCCACATACCGCATCAGCGCCATCTCATCTCCAGCCCGTACTGCGCCCGTTTAGCCCCCCTCTATCGGGCCAAACAGAAGCTGCTTGGGCGTGCGGTGGCTGGGCATGCGGGCTACATGACCCAGCCAACGGAGCCTTGGAGGAGCTCGCCGAAGACAGGTACCCTGTCCAGATCCTTCAAGTATTTGTGAGCTCCTCACACTGTGATTCAGCCTGCCGGTTAAACCCACGATGGATCGTAGGCAGGGCCGGCCTGCAAGTTTCAAACCGGCGCAGACATCTCTCATGGTCTCTCTACTCGCGATTTCGCCCTCGCGATGTCTCACAATCTTCCACTCGCGATCTTCCACTCACAATCTCCCTCTGACAATCTCCCTCTCACAATCTCCCTCTAGCAATCTCCCACTCAAAATCTCCCTCTCACAATCTCCCACTCACAATCTCCCTCTCACAATCTCCCACTCACAATCTCCCACTCAAAATCTCCCTCTCACAATCTCCCACTCACAATCTCCCACTCACAATCTCCCACTCACAATCTCCCACTCACAATCTCCCACTCAAAATCTCCCTCTCACAATCTCTCTCTCACAATCTCCCTCTCACAATCTCCCACTCACGATCTCCCTCTCACAATCTCCCTCTGACAATCTCGCTCTCACAATCTCCCACTCACAATCTCCCTCTGACAATCTCCCACTCACAATCTCCCTCTGACAATCTCACTCTCACAATCTCCCACTCACAATCTCCCTCTGACAATCTCGCTCTCACAATCTCCCTCTCTCCCACGGCCTCTCTCCCACAGTCTCTCACCCACGGCCTCTCTCCCACAGTATCCTACGGCCTCTCTCCCACAGTCTCTCTCCCACAGTCTTTCACCCACGGCCTCTCTCCCACGGTCTCTCCCTCTCTATTACTCAGAGTCTCTCCCACAGTCTCTCTCCCACGGTCTCTCTCCCACAGTCTCTCACCCACGGCCCCTCTCTCCCACGGCCTCCGGGTCGCTCTTCGCCCTCCGCTCCCTCCCCTTCAGCTTCCTTCCGTCGCGTGCGAGTGACGTCGGGCGAGCAAAACGGGGGGGCAAGCAACGCCGGCGTGACGTCACGACGGGGGGAGGGTGTGTATAATGGTGACGTCACGTCCGGTGGTGGGGGCGAAGGGACGTGACGTCACGAGCAATGGGCGTTTGGACGAAGAGACATGAGGTCACGGGCAATGTGGGGGGGGGAGGGGGTCGAAGAGACGTGACGTTGCGACCTTTGGGAAACGTTGCCTCTGTTTCTCCAAACACGCAGTAGAATTGTAACAAAAGTTACCTTTCTTCTCCCACCAAAACTGTATTCCTAGATGGTTGGAGGTCAAACAGTGTTAAGATAACAAAAGGGTCCATACTCTTTGGTTCTATTCGGTAAAGTCATGTAAATGTATAAAACAACAAAAATAAAAATACAAAATATATAATAAATTCACCACGTTTCGGCCACAACACAAGTGGCCTTCATCAGGTGAAGGGACCAGACTGTCTCGAGGACAGCGCTGTAGTGAACACAGCCAAGCTCAGACCGCGACCTTTAAGCTTGTGTGAGAGGAATTAAGGTGCCTTGACAAAGGAATTAGCATAAAAATTTGCATTTAATAGGCGGACTTAGCATGATGAGAGGTGAGGAGGGGGTGAACATGTGCAGGCTGGCGAGGGGGCAAGGTAGAGTCCACATGCTGGTGGTGTGAAAAGGGAATTTTAAGAAGCTGCGAAAGTTTGGGATACCACTACTTGAAAAAATATACTTTACCATTGAAAATTAGTTTAATGTTTGGTTCGATTTAGAACATCTTTCCAATGGTTGCTTAATTTTAAACCATCTCGGTTGAAATTGTGTCTGTGTTTGTAAATCTGAATTGCCTCGTGGACAAATTTCTGATAAAAACCCGTGGGTTTGCAAAGAACCTTGGTATCGGAGAAAATTATATCGTGATCACCCACAGCGTTGTAACAGTGATCAGCTACGGCAGAAGAATTCGTTCTGCCGTGTTTCAAATTTGATTTGTGCTCGCGAATTCGGTCAGAGACATGTCGTTTAGTCTCCCCGATATAGCAGTCACCACAGGTGCAGCTCAATCTGTAAACTCCGGGGGACTGTAAGTCAGGAATGACATCCTTCACGGAAGGGATAAGGTCACGGATTTTGTGTACTGTATTGAACCCGACCAGGATCTTGTTTGTTTAGAATTTTGGAGATCTTTTTAGTAACAATTCACAAACAAACCTCTATTTGATGTAAAGCAGCAGCCCGGGGTCACCAAGGGAAGAGGGGAGGGGGGCAATCAGGCGCAGCCGTGGGGAGAGAGCGGACGGAGTAAGCATCTGTTTTTTTTCTCTCTCGCAAGAGACGCGGAGAGAGGAGAGAGAATTTCACATTTAAGCTTGGCAAGGGACAGCGAGACGGCAGATTGGAAGAGGACAACAAGCCAACTCCGAGGCATGGCCTCGAGACATTAGCAATGGGTGCTGTGTCCCGCAGAGAAGAGGGGCGAGGTGATGTTAGGTGCTGAGTTCGGCATGTACCGACAGAGTATCGCTGAAAGATTATTCTACATTCATCCTGATGCTTTGAGTCGCTTGCAGAATCAAGGATTGCGATGAGCTGTATCGTACTATGCTACCAGAGTTGTGTAAGAGGTGTGCAAATACAATTTTCAAGTTTTGAGAGTGAGCTCAACAATCCAGCTCGACAATTCTCTCGACAATTCAGCTCGGCGAGCGACCGAAGAGGGCGGCCAGCGGCAGGCTCCAGCAGTGGGCCCCGCGATCAACCGAGGATGGCGAGGCTGGCAGAGTAGCGATGTGCCACTGAGTGTGAGTTCAGAGCTGAAAGACGAAGTATCGCTCAAAGACTTTTATTCTACATCGAGTGCCAGCTGCCAGCACCAAACGTTGTACCGACTTGGCTCATCCAGCAGGGGAAAGAGCCTGACCAGCCGCCCGTGAGCAAAAGTGTCAGCGGACCAGCGGCGAGCGCGTGCAACGCAGCTCCTCCAGCAGTGGAAGGAGCCTGCTGCTGTCGGCGGACCAGCGGCGAGTGTGATCGAGCATCTACAGGGACGAGCGCATGCAACGCAGCTCCTCCAGCAGTGGAAGGAGCATGTATCTGCCAACACAGGCAGCTAAGCCGACGCCCCGAGCAAGAAAAAAAACGAAGCAGTTTGTATAACCCTCCCCCACATTCACATCCTCACGACGCATCACCCAGCGTCTGCTTTACAAAGACACACAACATGCATATCAGGACAAATCAAGAAGGGTTACCATTCCAAGGTGGTGCATTAAATATCAACTGATCGTGAAGAACATTTCTGCCCATTGAGTTACATGGATACGGTCATTTAGAAGCACCTTAGTCGTTCGTTTCTTTCTTTTCTTTTTAATTGAATAATCATGCCGATTAATCTATTGACGTATACTTTGCCTTTGGGGCATAATCATTGCTTATTGCCTTTCGCATGAATTTTGTCGGACGAATTTTTAAGGACTTTTTGTTCCTTCGTGTTACTCTGAAGTAATCAATCGATCTGTTACCCAATTAACAACGTGACCATTGTGGGTTAAATGTATGGATCAATGTGGTTGATAATTCTAAGCATAATAATTCGCATATTATAAAGTTAAGGTTTTGTTTAGAAATTAAAATTGCTTAACACAGAAGTGGTTGCGTGTTTCTTCCCTGAGTCCATGCGTAATAATCTTATTTATAAGGACTGTATCGTGCGATGAGATTTTAATTTGGAGACCTGACATAAACACCAATACATAATCAGTAAATGTTAAAGTGAGAATAATTGTATAATACCGATTGATAATACGAACCTAGACAACGAAGCCGAGTTAATCTGACATACTTACAGCACACCTGCATAACTTCATACGATTAATTGTATTATCCCGATTGATGATACGACCCTCGTCAGCGAGGCAGGGCCTAATTATCATAACTGTGTACATTAGCATAATCGCACGCACTCGCATATATTAATACGATTATCTCTTGAATGTGCACAATTACATCAATTAACATAATTTCGGATAATTACGCATTTTTTTCCAAATTTATTTTAATTTTTATTATTTTCATTCAAATTTTCAATACCAACATATACAACAGTAAGTAGCGACTGAGGCGGTGGTGGGTTTTCCACCAATCAAAGGGCTGCCAGGTAAAAATTAGCATGTTAATGGAAGATCGCCGAGCAACAACCTCGAGGATGGCGCGCGAGGTAGCTGTGTTAGTGTGAGAAATTGAAACTGTTCATTTGTAAAAATTCAGAGAGCCGAAAATAACAACTAATATCGGAAGGTGGTAGGATGAGAACATCACAGTTAGTTATGACTTAAACTGGTTAATAACGTCCTTCCAATGGTTGCTCAGTTTGTACCCATCTTCTCGGTGGAAATTGTGTCTGTGTCTATAAATATGGATGGCTTCATGAACGAATCTTTGTTGATAGCCAGTGGGTTTTCAAAGTACCTTCGTCTTAGAGATATCAATTTCGTCTGAGCCCACCGCATTAAAACAATGATCAGCCACGGCTGAGGTATTGGTCCTACCGTGTTTCAGATCTGCCTTAGATTCACAAACACGGTCTGAGACATGTCGCTTAGTTTCCCCAATGTATCTACTGCCGCAGACACAGCTAAGTTTGTAGACGCCGGGGTATTGCATGTCAGGGATCACATCCTTCACAGATGGAATCAGATCACAAATTTTATGTACTGTGTTAAATCGAACCTGGATCTTGTGTTTGCTCATGATTTTGGAAAACTTTTTGGTGACCCCTGCTATGTATGGCAAGGTGATGGTTTTGATTGGATCCTCAGATGGTTCTTTCCCAACGGTGTGACCATTGTAGAACCCTCTTCAACGGTTCCAAACACACACAAACACACATATATACACCGTAAACACACACATATATACACTGTATATATATACCCTATACAGGGACTTCTTTACTTACGAACGAGTTATGCTCCAGAGGTCTGTTCGTAAATCGATTTGTTCGTAAGTCTCATATGTACTCCCTGTTGTTCCAAACATGTTGTACGGCATGTACACTAAACATGGGGGAATGGCTTTAAATATTGTAAAATCTCATGTATATGCTACTGGTGCTTCATGTTCTGCAGATGTAGATGCCACTGGTTCTTCATGTTCTGCAGATGTAGATGCCACTGGGTCTTCATGTTCTGCAGATGTAGATGCCACTGGTTCTTCCTATTCTGTAGATGCCACTGGTTCTTCGCATTCTGCAGATGTAGATGCCACTGGTTCTTCACGTTCTGCAGATGTAGATGCCACTGGTTCTTCACGTTCTGCAGATGTAGATGCCACTGGTTCTTCACGTTCTGCAGATGTAGATGCCACTGGTTCATCACGTTCTGAAAATGTGGATGCCGCTGGTTCTTCATGTGCTGCAGATGTAGATGCCACTGGTTCTTCATGTTCTGCAGATGTAGATGCCACTGCTTCTTCGCATTTTGCAGATGTAGATGCCACTGGTTCTTCATGTTCTGCAGATGTAGATGGCGGTGGTTCTTAATTTTCTGCAGATGTAGATACGGCTGGTTCTTCATGTTCTGCAGATGTAGATGGCGCTGGTTCTTAATATTCTGCAGATGTAGATGCCGCTGGTTCTTCATGTTCTGCAGATGTAGATGGCACTGGTTCTTAATTTTCTGCAGATGTAGATGCCGCTGGTTCTTCATGTTCTGCAGATGTGGATGCCACTGGTTCTTCACCTTCTGTAGATGTAGATGCCACCACCGCCATCTATTGCACGGCGGTTGAACTTACGACTCTCGGTCCAATCAGGCAACTGGACGCACCGGACCAGGTTTGTTCATATCTCCAAAAGTTCTTAAGTCGAATGTTCATAGGTAGAGGAGTCCCTGTACTGTATATATTTTCGTAACATTAACTTAAAATGCAAACACTTGCAAACTGCACTGCAAAACTTACAGTCGATTGATTAGGGTCATCCATTTAGTACGTATCCAAAAATCTGTACAAATTTGACCCCTTCCTGTACACTGTTGTATAC